TAATAATATAACATAATAGAGCCTAATTCTTTTCCATAAGCCATCTTGCGCCTCCGGGAGCTGAGCCGAAAGTGTAGTGAGCAGATTTATGTAATACCACAGATGCAATTAGCTGCGAGTACTCCAGAGCTGTGCGGCAGCCAAAAGATCTTCTTCCCCGCATGGCCGATATCTATTCTCTCTAGCAGGCCCAAAGCTTCCATATCCCTCGCGGTTGGGGTCTTTTTCTCTCAAAGTTTCTGTGATAAATACTAAATCAGCGGTATAATGGATTATGTATGTGAAGACCTGTGACTATCACGTTATTTAATAAGAGAAGCAACAACTCGATTCTGCAGCTTATAAATAGCCCAATAGTATCAGATATAACTCCTGCAATTGCTTTCCGAGTCTGTGCACGCACATGGATGATGGTAACCAAATGTTATCTCACGAACGGAAAAAAATCGAAAAGAATGAAGAAGATAATGGTCATGAGCCAAAGTTGACAATTGACCCTTTTAATTTGTCACCAACTAGCAGAAAGGGAACAAGTATTCCCAGCCCAAAGCGACCCCTTACAAAGCCACATCCTAATCTTCTTAATATCGGTATGACTTTTTCATCTGTAAACTTGGAGAGCATGCTTTAATTTGACTTTTATCTGCCAGATCCTAATGCAACTTTAGCAGCGATCAGTGCACGTTTAGCCACCTTAATTTCTGCCCCCGAGACTGAATTTGCGCGAGTTAACCGAGAAACTCATGTTGCAATGACGAACGGATCAGTTTTTGTCGATAGCCATGGAAAAAAATTGATGCCACAGAGTAATTTTGAGGATCAATCACACTTCATCTCTACGAATATTTCGAGCCCAACATCGAAAGATGTCATGACCCCGGCTCTGTATGATTCTATAATTGCTGAAGAATGGGTTAATTTGCATCTTGAGACAAACAAAGCCTTTCTTCTTCCGGTTGGTGACACCATTTCGACAATGAAAAACCCAATAGTTGATAATGACGACGAATTGGTGCTCGATTCAGAAGTATTCGTCTTTCGTAGAGGAGGTGATGGTGGTCCCCTTGGGAGGGCAGGAATGGATCGCGGCTCTATGTACCGGATGGGCATGTCAAAAGAGTTAGTGGATCGGCTTTATCGTGCACTTTATGTATACACAAATGGTTTCCATAACCTTATTAACGAAATTGCTTCTCACTGTTCTCCACAATTCGAAAGTCATGTATCCTCCAACGTATGGCTTGCGTTTCTTCAACTGCTAGAGCAATGCGAACATGGTAAACACGAGATAGCGTTGCTTAAGTTCAAACAAGCAGCGCAGAGCGCTCAGGATCAGCTTCAATCAAAATGTCAACGAGATATTATCCTCTTAGATTCTCAATTGCGTAGTGCACAGTCTGCATTGATAAACGAGATAGCTACTGGGGCAGAAAAAACGGCACATATTTCAAAATTAGTCGCAACCACGACAGAGTCGACGCTAAAGGTGGGCTTTGGTCTGTCTTTTTAATGTTGAGTAAGCCTGGGGTTGAACGATTATATTTGTGGTATTAGATTGCGGAACAAGAGGAAGAGCTGGCAGCTCAAGCGGAACAGATACGTCTTCTCAAACTGGAAATCTTGGTTCATGAAGATGAGGAGAGAAAAGTTAAAGAAGATCTTAATGATGCCCGGAGGAGATGCGATGTAGCGAATTCGGCAAGAGTGAATGCCTTGACTGACCGTAACGCGAAGGACGAGGAAATTCGAGAATTATCAAATCATTTAAAGCGATTTGAAGCCGAAAAAACGAGCTATGCGAAACGGGTGCGTGACACGTTGGTCTCAAATCAAGATATACGGACCAAAGCCGACCGACTTAAGCAAATTATTGTCGGTCTTCGGATAGAAACAGACAAGGCTTATGCGGAGAAGCAGAGCTTGCAAGAGCAAGTTGAAAAGGCTCAGCTTGAAATTTGTCGCCTTCAAGCTCTACGCGCACAGAGTGATAGGGAATTTGTTGAAAATCAGAACAAGCACAACCAAACGGAAGCGCAATTGCGAATGATTGCAGTGAATTTTGACAAGGAAGTTGAGCATAATGTTAAGTACCAGCAAGAGATTGCTAATTTAACCGCTCAGATCGTTGAAGAAAAGGAGCGAAGTAAAGCATGGGAAATAAAGTGCAATATTTTGACCGCCGAAAAGCTTAATGCAGGCATGCGGGAACAAGACAAACAGCAAATTGAGTGTCTATTAGATCAAAAAACTGAACTTGAAGCGGTTGTGGAAGCGAACACACTTGATCAGAAGAGAAATGAAGAGCAGATTCAAACACTTAATTTGTCGATAGAAGCTTTGAACACTGAATTACAGCACACTAAACGTGTATTTTCGACGGGAGAGCAGGCATTTCTTCATTCTGAACGCACATGTGACCAGTTGCGACTACAGAATCAAGAGCTCGAGAAAAACAACGTAAAAGCCAAAAAGAAGTATGTAAGAAATTCTCAAATTTATGGCATCTAAACTCTCAGTACATTTTGCATGCGCAGTATAGCGTCGTTAAAGGAACGACTGAAGATGCACGAAAAAGCTGCAAAAGAGCAGATCACAAAACTTGAGGTAGAAATCAAGGTTACCAGTGCCCAGCTTCGTGAGACAACATACATCAATAATGACAACATTGCTCGAGTCGAGCAGTTGACACATACTCTTTTGCAGTTGGAGAAGGAATTGGCTGGCTCAAAAACTCGCACTGAAGAGCTCTCGAAGCAAGTGGCGATAATTCAGGCCGAGAAGGAAGGTATGCAACGTAGCCAAGACCTGGCAACCTCAACCTTTCAAAAAACCATCCACCAGTTTGCACATTCGTTGCAGATCATGTTGACACTCGTTAAGGTTGATGAATTTCCTTTGGATGAAGCGATACGAGAGTTATTGCAAATGGTTCAGGACACGTTCGGAAAGGAGCTGAATCTTGACAAATTGGTTGAAGATGATGATACTCCTGTCACGATAGAACTTGAAGTACAGGAAGATGTGACAAAGGAGGAACACGCGAGTTGTCTGAAGCGAGCTTCCGTATATAGAAACAGTGTGGAAGGCATTAACAATGACGAAGAATCCAACAAAAGCTCACATTTACCTTCACACAACACGTGTGCGGAGAAAACGTGTACTCAGCACGAAATTATTCGTATGAGTCGATTTCGAAAGAGCAAGTTAGACCATCTTGTGACCAAACTTCAAAGTAAAATCGCGTCTAACGAGGAGCAAGTGGCAAACTTACAAAGTGCTATAATGGACCAGACAAGAGAAATATATCAACTGACTTCTACGACAAGGCAGCAAACTTGTTTAATCGGGAAGTCAGAGTGCCAGAAAGAAATGTTGCAGTCGGATCTCGAGATGACAACGCTGAAGCTGATCCAAGTTTTTGCTGAGAAACAAGCGGTTACCTCTGATTTAAAACAAGCTCGTCTTGACCAAGCGCTTAGTGATAATCATACTTTTCAAGTCCAAGTAGCGCTAGCAACGCTGCGGCGTGAGTATGACAAGCAGGTAATTGTAGATGAGGACGCACTGGGTCACATGTGGCGTCTACACGAGCACAATCTGTACATGTGCTCGTTGCGACGAAACAAAGACGTGCAAGCGACTGCTACCCCCATGGACCAAACAACACAGACTCTTGTTCCACAGCGGAATCCAGCTTTAGAACGACCTCGAGTGCCATCTCAATTGATTCCGTCGGAAGACTACGGGTCGTCCGAAAAGCTTCTTCAGAAAATTAGCCGAGCGACACGGGAGCTGCTCCCAGGCGTAGCTCACGAAATGGATCTTCGTTTCCAACATGAAAAGTCAAAGCTAGAACAACAGCATGAAGGAAACAACGCCTCATGCCATCTTAATGTCCATTCGCGTAACCTTGCACAGGCCAGTCAAAATTGCCGACAACGTCATTTTGGGAAATTCTGGACCATTGCGTCAGATAATGAGCTTGGGGTTGCAAAATTACCACCTGTAAACGTGAAAAGGATTTCGGCTTTCCCGCCATCACATGTGGTTTACCACGTAAATGAGTTTGGTACTCGACAAAACGTGTTGGTTTCCCCAACTCAAGTTCCGTTTGTTGCGGAAAATCGAGCGCGTCGCTCGCTTTCTCCTCGGCCTCCTCTACAGATCTCGCACGTACAAAGGCCAATACCTTGTAACTCAAGTACTGTCAAGGGATCTTCTGGTAACGACTTACGGTACGAGACACAGGACGAAGAGCGCGTAGAATCTGGTGAGGATACCCAACCACAATATATTGGCAGTCTTGATTTCTTGACATCTCAGTCTTCACCCACTCGCAACAACATCAATATGCAAAGCTCCAATCGCAAAGTTGTGCGTGAAATTTCGTGGATCACTGGGTCACGTAACAGCCCTACGCCACATCTCATAAAAGACCACAGTGACGAATATGGCAGTTTGTCTTTTCCAGACAAGACTTTGAGCGACGGAATTACATCAAACCGCCTGGCTGCTGTTGTGAGTATGCACAATCGCGAGAAATTGTCATTTCAAGATGCTACATGGCGAGCAAAGACTGAAAGTTCTCGACACTTTGTAAATTTTAATCATGACGATAAAGAACATGAAGTACGAAGTGAAAGTACCACCAACACTGACCTCGCGATGCAAGATCGATACGCACAGCTCTTTCCAGGTGTGCTATACCCTATTATACCCAACTTATGATGTTAACGTAACATATGCAAAATGAGGCTTATGAGCTCAATCATTTCAAGAAATGCTAAAATTGTATATCATATGTATATTTCATTCGAAGTCGAATAAACAAGTATTGCCTTAACAATTGAGAGCATAGTCGAATATCATCATAACACATATTATGTGTTGGATACTGTAAAAAAATCATTTATAAAAACAAGGAAAGTATGAAATATGTCGTGGGTGTTTGCACTGCCTATTAGATATATCGGGTGAGTTCAAGTTCTTGTCCACCTGTGAAGGGGAGTCTGGATATAGCAACCACGTCTAGTAACGGAAAACTCTCAACACCGCAATGGCGACCATCTTGGTGACTATTATCACCTTCATGGAGGGTCTCCGACTCGCAACCCGACTCTTATCTGAAAGTGTTCGGTCTCATAACCGCGAGGGACATGGAAGCTTTGGGCCTGCTATGCAGGGAAGAAGATCTTTTGGCTGCCGCGCAGCTCTGGAGTACTAGCAGCTAATTGCATCTGTGGTATTACATAAATCTGCTCACTACACTTTCGGCTCAGCT